AACATTGAACGAGTATATGAAATCAAATTTCTGGGTGTCATGGTTGACGACAGATTATCCTGGAAATCTCATATCAGTTATGTTCAGCATAAAATAGCTAAAAATATATTGATATTGGCAAGGGTTAGATATATGCTGGACGTTAAAGCATTGCGTATTTTGTATTCTTCATTGATTTTGCTATATTTGGAGTATGGCGTTGAAAACTGGGGAAATACATACAGGAGTTCACTTCAACCATTGTACATATTACAGAAGAGAGCGATAAGAGTTGTGCACAAGATGGGGTATAGGGATCACACAAATGCAGTTTTCATACAGTCCAAATTGTTGAAGTTCTTAGATTTGGTGGAATATAAGACTGCTGTGTTTATGTATAAAGCCAGGAACGACTTATTACCTGGTGGAATCCAAAAGTTATTTGGTGAAAGGGAAGGGGGATACAATCTAAGGGGTCAGTTAAATTTAAATGTTCATGCTATACGTACAACCAAAAAAAGATTTTGTATTTCTATAAGTGGGGTCAAATTATGGAATAATTTAACTGTGGACATGAAAAATAGTACTAGAATTGAGGAGTTTAAATATAAATATAAATGTATGTGTTAGACAAGATATATGCAAGAATAAGATTTATTCGAGAAGGCATTAAGGAAACACTTTTTTTTATCTAAGTAGGGATAGTGCTTGCAGCCAATGATGCATGAAATTTTGTATAATATGATGTCATGGGGTAGGACTGGATAAGTCTGACTTCTTCCTACTCCATTCAAACATGTAATAGGTGTAAGCAAACTGATTTTGAATTAGCATTGGTTGGATATGTGTAATTATGTGTGTTGTTGTCATTTGTTCATTTGTTCTGTTCTGCATGTTTGAAAGAATAAAATCAATCAATCAATCAATCAATCAATGCTCAAACATACTTGGCCATTAAAGATGATTCTGATTCTGCTCTACAGATATGACACAGGTTCAGTTTTATTATACAGTATATCTAGTTTTTTGTGAATTAGTGAGTTTGGAGGAGCTGGTGCATGTGTTTTTTTTCTAGAAAGAGTTAGGCTAGCTATTTCCCTCCAGACTGAATTCACCTTTGTATTTTACAAGCAGAAATGAGATTGATGTTAATCATCTAACTCTCAGAAAGAGAATAGGCAGTATATTGCAAAATATAAAGTAGTCCCCATACAGTACTAATAGCATATTAGCCGCAGAAGAGGTAACTGCTACTAGTTATCACAGAAGCACTAATTGTAATAGCGTAAAAATGGTTTCAAAATGAATATCAGTGTCCACCACATGGTGCTGGTAGTAGAAGCTGTAGCTGTAAGAGACTGCTAGTGTCTTTGATGGTGGTCATAGTTGGAGTAGTACTGGTGTCAGAGGATATATTGAAACTTTTGTGCTGTTATTGCCATAAGTTGATTTTGTGCCTTGATTGTTGAGCTTAACATTCCCTTAGATCTCAGTAGCAATGACTTCATGAGCTTCTTTACAAATAAAATCGCAACTACTAGAGGAAAAATTGGTCGGACCATTCCCACAGCTTTCATGGATGTGCCATCTACTACAGTGGCTTTAGAAACATCCGTGAGACCTCATTTATACTTGGACTACTTCTCTCCCATAGATCTGTCTGAGTTGACCTCAACAATTGCTTCATCTAAATCATCATGTCTCCTGGACCTCATCCTGACCGGGCTGCTCAAAGACGTCTTTCCCCTAATCAACACATCCGTACTAGATTTGATTAACCTTTCTCTATTAACAGGTTATGTTCCACAGGCTTTTAAGGTTGCAGTAATTAAACCTTTACTCAAAAAGCCTACTCTTGACCCAGGTGTCCTAGCTAATTATAGACCAATATCCAATCTCCAGTTTATTTCTAAAATTCTGGAAAAAGCTGTTGCTAAGCAGTTATGTGACCACTTGCACAAGAATGATTTGTTTGAGGATTTTCAGTCAGGTTTTAGAGTCCATCATAGTACAGAAACCGCATTGGTGAAAGTCACCAATGATCTTCTCCCAGGCTCATATAAAGGACTTGTCTCCATACTTGTCCTCTTAGATCTCAGTGCTGCTTTTGACACCATTGATCACAGCATTTTGCTGCAGAGACTTGAACATGTTATTGGGATTAAAGGAACTGCACTGAGTTGGTTCAAATTTTATTTATCAGAAAGATTTCAATTTGTTCATGTTAATGATGAATCTTCCACACAAACTGAAGTTAGTCATGGCGTTCCACAGGGCTCTGTGTTAGGTCCAATT